CCCCCCCCCCCCCCCCAAAAAAAATCGAATTAATTAATTAATTAATACTAATAATCAAGAAAACAAACAATTTATAAAATGTCGTCCGATTAGATTATTTATATAATCATCATTAATTAATACCTGTTGTTTGAAGGTTTCTTCGTGTTTCAGCATGGCCATCTTCATGTACTCCATATCATAAGGATTGAGGATCTTCTCCATATGTTCTGCACCTGACCTGACACTAAACAAGCAAAGCTATTAAAAAAATGTCCAGTCCGGTCGGAGACCATTCATCAATTTTTATGTGTGGATGATATTGTTTCTAGATTGAGAAATCTGCCAAAAATAAAAGGAGGATATATATAAGAGAATGGGTGGGGGGTATATATGCTAAATAATAGTGCTATAGTGGATTTGTGATAAAGATGTGAAGCTTCCAAGAACTTCCCAGCCCTACACGGCTGTACGAAAGGGACAAAAGTAAAGAGTGGGGGGAAAATGTGAAAAACAAAGTTTGGGTAGGTCAAATTCTTATTTAATATGTACACCACCAATTTTGTATCCTCTCTCTGTTTTTAAAAGATTTTCACAATTTAATTTTTTTAGTCAAATTGTAGCACCCTAAAACCACGAATTATATATAGTGTAAAATAATTAAATATCATAAAAATTTGATATTTCAAAATTATATTTTAAAATAGCTTAATTTTAACAAATTTACATTATAACCAAATTAATTTTTCCAAAATTAATGGTCAAAGAGTGTCACAGTTTGACCTAAAAAGTCAAATTATGGTGATCATTTATGAACGGAAGGAGTAATAGTAATGCGTATATAGGGTTCGACTTCAATGGGTAAAGGTGATACAAATGTCGTATCGAATCCTTTGCTATCTAAAAATTGATGCAAAGAAAGAAAGGATACTTTGAATGTTTCTGGACTCCCAAGAAAAGAGAAGAAGAAAATGAATGAATTGACTCATAACATTTCTCTCGATCTCCTCGAAATAAATTTTATTCACATAATTTCACATTTCAACAAGTATTTTAACTAGGTGAAGTCAAATTAAGTCGTTTATTTATGTACGAAGAAAGTACTTGTATTTATATCGAGACCATCGAAGCTCACACACTTAATAAATAGATGAAGCCCATGTAAAATAGATCAAACAAACCCGGCCTATAAGTGATACACTAGTTTATTAGGGTAGCGAGTAAGGTAAGTGCTAGAGTGAGGAAAACAAAGAGGCAATCTCATAAGAAACCATGTCCCATGTCATGGGATTGCCTCTTTGTGCGTCCTCATGAGTTAGGAGCACAAGGAGGCCATGATCTCCATATATTCCTAGAAGATGGGGTGATGTTTATCACGAGATAATAAGATCAAATCCTAGCAGCAGCATTGTGTGAGTCTTATTCTTTATAATAGCTCATTGTGAACCGAGCATGGGACGACATATCTAAGAACCATACTAAGATTATACACTGACTTAACCTCCTCACAATCATGTCAGGTTGAAGTATGGGGATGCCTGAAATGGGCGTTTCACCTTTTATTTATACCTAAGGATGAGAGTGCTTGGAGAAGAACACTGGATAATGCCAGAGAAATAGAAATACTCCTTTCGTCTCAAATTAATTTTTCTTATTTTCTTTTTGGGCTGTCCAAATTAATCTATCTCTTTCCTTATTTGAAAATCTTTTTGGGACTCCTTTTCTCTCTCTCCTCTGCATCAGCTTTAACCATACAAATTTGTTTTTCTTAAACTCCAGCGTGCAAAGTCAAATTATTACGATTAATATGTGATGGAAAGAGTAGAATGTAAGGGGTATCTAAAGGAGGAAAATAGTCATCCACCCCTTTCCAAATGGTTCGTTTAGCGGTTGGAAACAACTATATATATGTCGAAAGCCTCAACAACAATCAGAATAGGAAAAAAATCGAGAACCAATATCCAACTACTGATTCTTGTACCCAAGTTTAGGTTATTGGAACTGCNNGTCCACACCCACCTTCCCACTCTACCCCCAACCCCTACCCCTTATATATCTCCCACCCTACCATCCTCCCCCATTTGCCAGCCCGCGCCATCTGCCCTTATCCCTTCTTCCTTCTATCTTGCGCCAACACCCCCACTTTGTGCTGCATGCCTTTGTTAAACTAGTTTTAAATTTACCTTTAAAATAATTTTTAAATATTAATTTTGAAAGCTTAACCATTAAAAATGTTTTTTTGGGAAAAAATTCTTCCTACTAAACAATGGAAAATGTGAGAGGAAAACAGGTTTCATTGGAAATAATTTTCCCTAGAAAATATTCTTTTTGAAATTGTGTTTTTTCAATAATTCTTTCTTTTTGAAAGGAGCCCGTATGCGTTGCGCAGCTTGCAAAGACAAAGAGTGTCAAATAGGTATAATCGAGTTCAATTTATGTGAACTACATTGGAAGATCAATATAATGTTTCAACTTCAATTTTATAAATTACAAATGTGTTACAAATGTGTAAACAATATAGTATTAGAAATTTATTTGAGTAATAATAGGAGTGCATCATTTTGTATCACACATTGCACACCATCACATCATCCTCTATATATTTGTATTGATGATAGATGAAAAAAGATTAAAATGGGAATAAAACATAGAGAAAATTATACAATTTCGTAATAATTTATATTATTGAATAATGAAGAATACAATCCTATATATATAGATTAGAATGGAGAATTCTAATAATAGTGGAAGAAAAATTATGGTAATAATATAAATTATATAATAAGGAAACAATAAAATAGGGCAATTAAATAAGAATAAAATTTTATTTCCTATTATTCCTAATATTCGTAATGACCTCCTGCAAACTGATCATAAAAAAATGAGTGCGGCTTGGAACACAGGTACTAGAATGAAGCCGGTGGAAGCGGTTTTGTGAGAAGAATTTCTAAAAGTAGAGAGATATAGATCTTCGTTGCATGAGCAACGAGCTTGAGTGTACGCTTGCTGATTTTTTTCAAGGAGAGTGTTGGTGATTGGAGCGAGGGCGAGGAGTTTCTTTAATCTTCTCCTTTTGGGTTGTTTTTTGCCTCTCTATCGCTTTCCATGCTCTTTAACTCTAGAGGAATCATAGAAAAATACAGCTTTCTAGTTCTTTGATCATGCACACATAATTTTTGAAGAGAGAGATAAGAGTCTACAGTTGTTAGGCACGTTCATATTTTTTGGGAGAGATAAAAAGGGATAAGGGACAGTGAGACCATGATTTGTGGCAGTCGACCGTCGATAATGAAGATCAGCGAAGTAGGACTCAGTTTTTTTGTTCGAAAATGTTAGTAGCATATAATGATACAGTCTTATAATAATTGGTCTTATTGAATAATGAAGAATACATCTCTATATATAGGGATTACAAAGGAGAATTCTAATCATAGTAGAATGGTAAAACTATAATAAGAAAACAATAAAATTAAGGAAATTAAATAATAAAAAAATCTATTTCTTATTATTCCTAATATTGCTAAAAGAAAGTACTAAAATAGGAACTGTATATATCTTATTTTTAAAATAGGAATACAATATTAATAATGTCAGTATATAATACCAAAAAATATGGTACAATATCATTACACTGTGAACTTCTATAATTGATTGATGGAGTGGGGTGCGAACTAGGACACAAAATGGTGTACCCAAACATTTTGGATTATTAAATGACACCTGTATATCCGATTTAATATTCCGTACTCCATTTAGCCATTAAAAAAATAGGATACTCCATAATATTAATGGTAGGTGGATTAATGAACTGGATCAGCCAATTAAACAACACTTATGGGTCGTACGCATCCCTTTAAATGGTCCTACATTAAGAGGCTTATCCCAATAGTCTTTCCCTCCTCAATTAAATTTCTTAATGTATGTAGGGGTGAAAAAATAACATAAATAAATAAAATTTGAAAAGTTTTTTTTGGAACACAAAAAAGTATCTAAGCTAATGTACAAAAAGAAAATTAGTATTAATGATTCGATTGCAACGTACGAATAATATTTGTTCATATTTTTTCTACATACGTACAGTGTACCAATTATTCATGCCTACACTTGGGATTCGAATCGGGATAAATTTTCTATGAATCTTGAAAAATAAGCTTCCTACACTCGGGCGAAAAGAGAAGCTCAACAAAAAAAATAGTTCTAAAGATTAAGCAATGGTGTTGCTCCCTCCATCGGTAGAAGCTGAAAGTTTACCAAATTACCCTTTATAAAAATGAATGAAATGTTTGTTGAAGCATAATAAATAAATAAAGTGATGATAATTATGATATTTCAAATGTTAAAAGAATAATGAAAAGATTTTCATACATTTACTTTGTTAATATCTGACTTGTGAATCCGACGAGAAGGGACAGCGCTCAATTATTTTTTTTCATTTATTATACGGAGTAGTAAATAATGTATGGATGGGTGATAACAATAGGGAGCAAGTGAGAAGTACATAACAATATACGTAGTATATAACATCAATAGCAATTTCCTCAATCGATAATACCATTACCATCCGACCGCATGCCTGTCAATTGATTGAAACCATTTTTTTAAAAATAATACTCAGCTTCTTTGTCATTAATTAATCATGAAATATTTGCACTACAGTAAAACTAAAGTCATTTTTCTAAATAGTATCTAAATTGTTTTATTCCTTAAATAGCGCTTAATAATGTTCAGAAGGAGGGATAATGTCCAGTGATAGCGAATATTTACTTGAATAATGATTAATAGATAAATAATAAAAGTACTACATTGAGAAAAAACACATATGATGATATTTAGGTAAAATCATTATGTTTTAGTGCTATTATAGTAAATTCTTCATTAATCATCTCAGTTTAATTTTATAGGATGTAAAAAAAACATATTAAAAAGTTAAAAATGGATGGTTAAAATTTGATTAGCAAAAGAGAAAAAGTATAAATAACATAATCTTTACTTTATTGGGAAAATAAGAAAATAACACATTTATTTTTGATGGAACAAAAAGATAAATAAGATAATTAATTCGTGATGAAGAAATAAAGTAAAAAAAATAGATTTACATTCATTCAAGAATTAAGATTCAACCAAATCAAACCATTATAAATTTAGATTACTTAGCTCCATGAATATTTTTATGGTAAGAAAAACCAAAATAGCACTCTTAGAGTCTTAAAATACTCTAAATAGCAGTGCTATATATATGTTTCGTACTTGTGATTCCGATTTTGTCCTTTAATTAAACAGCAAATGTTTATTACACACTACAAAAAAATTTGATTGTTTTGGGCAGTGTGGTTGTTAACTTG